TCCAGCACTAACATGCTGCCCACAACACCATCTCACAATCTAAAAACTTATTAACAAAAATAGAAACCAAAAATCCAGTACCACCTCCCGCCACACCTCCACTACCTCACATTCTGAAAGCTACAAACAAAAATGGATACAAAAACCAAAAAGTAGGGCTTACCAAATATCAAAACCACCATCTTCTCTGTCACCAAACCACGAAAACAACCCTAAACCCGTTGTCGCCATCCTACGACCACCTAGGATCCATTATATGTTTCACCGGTGGTTGCACTTGATCTTTGCCCACAATGTAGCGATCGTATGTATCTACTGCTACAAGACGCGTGTTGCGCCGATCGTGTTAGCGATCACACGACGCCCCTAGAAGATGGCGCTTTTGTTCACGTTGCGTCGCGGGTATAGGGATGATGGGTGGTAGAGAGAGATTGGCGGCGTCATAGGTATATAGAACTTGGGTGGGAGAGGGAGGGGGGGAGGGAGGGAGAGAGAGAGAGAGAGAGAGAGAGAGGAGGCAGTTAAATGAATTATGGTTTGGAGGGTGCAAATGTGTAGAGATAGATAGTGGGTGTAGTGGAGTGGGGTGTGTTAATTAATTTAATTTTATGATAATATTATTAATATTTAAAAAGTAAATTTTTAATTTGATTTTTGAATAGTGAAACTTCCAACATAATTTTAGAATGCTAAAATTTTAAAATAGGGTGTGGTGTGGAAATTACCCCTACCCAAAGTTTTAAAATGTCCATTCAAAAATCAAATTTGAAAGCTTTTTTGTTCAAAAATCAAATAATAATTTAAACTTTTTAATATTATATAATGATAATATTTTAAAATTAAATTAATCTATATACCCAACCTTCCTCCATCCACTCAAACCTTAATTAATTTCCTCTTCCCCTGCTTGCTACTTCTCTTTTCTTTTTCTTTAACACACACTATAACCGTCAGAGGCGTCATCCCTGGCGCTACAGTAAAAGGATGTGGACGATATTGAACCCATTTGTTGATCCCTTTTTAGTACCTTGTTCGCTGCACTAAGACACACGCACAATACACAAACGAAGTGAGCAGTGTCATCCCACGTGTTCAAATATTTGAGAGTGTAGACGTCATCTCCGACATCACGATGAAGCAGATTGGGGTGGTTTTTAGTAGCCGCACGCGTCATCTCCAGCTCTGATTAGATCTACTTTACAATGGTTTAGTGAATCTGCTTAGGGTGTGGTGGTGGTTTTGGTAATGTTGATGCTCTAAAAAAAAAACTCTCATATACTTTGAGATTTTGTGAAAATTTCATAGCAAAAAAAGGTCATTTTTCTTTCACCTCTAGAATTTTCTCATATCTCTTTCAGTATATTTGTTGTAATCATTTTATGATAATACTATATGTACATAATTACTTTTAAATTTCAAAACGTAAAATTCCACGCAATCAATCCATTATCTCTTCTTCTTCCTTTTTTTTTTTTTTTTTTTTTTTTTTTTTTTTTTTTTTTTTTTTGGTTTAAGAACAATTAGTGTTCTTAGAAATATGTTAATTTTGTGAACAAATTTCAGTTATGTTCTTAGAAATTGATGTGATTTTTATTATTATTTTATTTGCATCAAAATTTTAATGACTGGGTTTTGGCTAGTAACTTTCCTCGAGAAATTTTTGTTGGCATCATAGTTCTTCGAAAATGTTAATTAGATAGTGAAAAGTTTGTAATTTTCCATTATATAATGAATTTGCAAAATGGAAAGTTTTTAAAAATCTTTAATCAAAGTCTATAGAAGTTTGTGAGAGACTTTTATTAAATTTATAGAAGTCACTTAAAACTCCATAAAATTCTCAGAGATGACTCACTTAAAAAAAGTTTATGAAAGACTTTTGAAATTTCAATTGAATATACCGCTTTAGTTATACTATACAGAGCTAAGTAACTTATAGGCTAATTACCAAAAGGTGAAAATGAAATTGTTCACTGAATATTCAAGTGATTAACTAACAATAAATTCAACTATTATTAATCGATCCTCAGTTCGTGGAAACATTCTGATATCTTATTGAAAATTTCTTCATTCATAACCCAAAATATAGAGTAGAATATGATTAAACCAATAATTGATGATCATTATTTAGTCAAAACAATGTTTTGAACAATGACGTTTTGAAGAATATGTGGTTAAAAAATAAAAATAAATAAATTGTGAGTTTATGTACAAAATATATTATTGTTTTAATGCATAATTCAAAATGAATACGTAGAGAAATAGTTTTCCAATGGATAAGTGCAGTGGTTAACCATTGGATCTCTTAGTCAAAGGATAGACGAGCCGATTTTTGCATGGGACCCACATTGATTGTGAGACCACAATATTTTTTGTAAAACTAAATTTCTTTGTAAAAAAAAATTACCATTCTTATTGACCTATGCTCACATGGAGAGTAAGATCCATGTGAATAAAAAAGTCAAAAAAACCCCTCTCCCATCATGAGGGGTCCGTCAAGGAAGGTGACAGCATAACAAAATTGTTTTTGGTAAACCAACAAAAACCAATTTTTGAGGTTGTCATTTTCTTCATCCCTCTGTTAATTTAATTAATTTGTCAAAGAAAATGGTATTAACCGACTCTAACCTCTACATACTTAAGTCCCTGTTTGAGCTCTATTGTTTCAAAATTCAATTTTTTCAAATGTATTTTCAACCAGATATCCTTCCAATCAATTATTTTATACGTAAATTCATTTTTTTTTTACTTTTAAATCATACATTTTTCAAAAAATCACTATTACAAAATCTATTTTTTTCAAAATAATGGGGCTCAAACACAAGTCTTTTATTATTATTAAATTTTTTTTGGCTAAAAGTGAGTTTGTATTAGTGAATTTTTGGAGAATGTGTGTTAAAAAGTATAAAAAAAATCCGTGTTAATACACAAAATATATTATTGTGAAAATGTGTGATTGAAAATAAATTTGAAAACTAAATTTTAAAAGAGCTTCCTATTTTATTAGTATTTTTAGAGAAAGATACATTGAATTATTTTCCTTTAAAAGCTCTTCTAATTAAATTTTTTTTTTAATAAAATTAGTCAAATCAAACAAGGTCTAAAAGCCACACTACTTTTAACAAAAATCATGCCAAACTAACCTTAATAATCACTATAAAACAAATTTTAAATTTAATGATCACCTTCTGGCGAAATAAATTTAGTAATTATTATAAAATTTGCTGCAAATTTTAGTGACCATCCCACGGTTCAATCATTGTTTCTGTTTTTCTTGCAGTGGGTAATTTTCAATTCATGATCATCGAGCTTTTAGTGAAATTTTTACTGGGATAATAATCCCTGTTTGACGCGGATTAAATCAAAATTTTTAGTAGATTTTGATAGACATTGATAAAATGTTGTAGTTAAATTGCTATCGAGTCTCATAAAATATGTAATTGGAATTTAGATTTTAATTCTTGCCAAATAGAGTTTACACGTAATTGTAACATGTTTTTCAAAAGGGAATAGAAAATATTCATCCCTCACTCGAAAAGGAATTTCAAATCCAGATCATCAATCTCGTAAGACTTTACGTTTATCATTTGAACTAGACCTTGACATTACATAACATAATTGTAGCATCGTATGCTACACTCTACAATAAAGTCGTTTAAAAATAATGTATTTAAACCTTTTAATTCAAAGACCTTTCAACATCCTTTCATTTTACCATTTTCATTTTGAAGTGTCACATAGTGATTACATGAAAAGTCATTAGGATATGACTCTCAACTTCCACAGTTTCAATGGCTATATATTGAATTTCAGTGATTCAATTAAAATAAATTAAAATTTAATGATAAAGTAGATATTTCGCTAAGAGTACCTTCTTGCACTCAACTTTCCGAACATCAATTTATGTAGGGCCTACAATTATTATTCATGGCCAATACTATGACTTTTCACTACCTTTTGTTTCAAACTTGAAAGACTTCAAAGAAGTGGCAGCAACTTTTCATCTTTTGCAGTTTGTTTACGGCAAGATCTTTTACCACTAATATTCACCAAAAAGTTACCACATTTCATGATTATAGACTTTGATAATTGAGCCCCGTTTGTTTCCATTTCCTCAATAATGAGAATGAAAAAATAGTCGTTATGAATTCCATACGAGAGACAAAAATTTAAATTTGATAGCTTGATGTGATAGATAACGATCATATTTTTTATTTAATGAGAAAAAAATGAGAAACAAATGGGGAAACATTTATAATAAATTTGTGTACATATTTAGTCAACACAGATATTAGCCCCTATATAGTGAGAATAAAATTAGAATTTTAGTAAATTTTCATAACAGTTAATGAAATGTATGGTTTAAAAATTATGAGACTCATAAAATATAATGTTAAAACTAATTGTTGACTTTGACTTAAATTAAAATTTGAATTTTAATCACTATCAAACAGGAGCTAAAGTCCCTTATATACTTTTATGCATCTCGTATAGATTTTTTTTCCTTCTCTTTCTTGATTTCTCAGAGATTTATTTTGTAAAATACTTTTGTGAAGAACATACATATAAATACGTACGTATATTGTCATTGTGGACAATAAGGCAACATTCGACTCACACTCTTGTGACATAATAAATAAAAGTAATTATTTTCGGTATAACAAAAATTCCATAGCGAAAATTGATAACTTTTTTGTAATAATCTAACTCGATATCCTTAAAAATTATATTCCATAGTTTAGCTCATTCATATATTAAAAAGCAGAAACAATGTCACAAGTTTAAAATTTAAAATTATGATAAAAAATGCTTATTGGATTAATTTAAAATGCTAAATTCAGATATTAGCAACTTGAAAATATTAAACATAAATAAATATTTAATTACTTTGCAAAATATCAAAATTCCTAAAAAATTAATAAGCAATTAATTTTAACTCCAACCAAACAAGACCCCAAGTACATAAATTATTGAAATGTCTCATCTTCTTGCCCCATAATTCATAATAATTTTATTTTTCTCCTCCTTAAATATCTCCTTTTCTTTTCCTCAGTGCAGTCTAGAAACTATATGCCAGTACTTGCCATTATGTGCTGAGGAAGAAATTTCTTGAACTATGAATTAAATCTCAAAATTTCTTATCTGGGTTTCAATAAATCTGTGGACTCAAAGTCAAATTTTTGGCCTTTTTGAGCATTTGAAGTTGGAATCTGTATCCAGAGGTAATTTTTAGTATTTAAATTTGTCGGTTAAGTTATATCTGTTTACTGGTTTCTATACCAGTAAATTATTTTGTATTCAGCAGATCTTCTGGTATTGAATTTGCATTAGATTTTTAGCTTTGCAAGTTATTTATAATCAAATAAGGAGTGGAAATTTAGGAATAGGACAAGATAAATCTGGAAAAGATCATCTTTTGGGTGGTGCAACAAGAGTACGAATAAAAATTGTTGGTTTTTAGTTTGAATAATTTGGAGTTTATCTAAGTTTTTAGCAGTGGAGAAACTGATAATAATTTATTTTCTTTATTTGCCATTGAGTAAATTTGTTGGATGGAAGTGTTAAGGAAGTTATGAATTTTTCTTTTAAAACTCGGTTGGAATGTGCTAAAGTGCACACTTCGATGTGTCTTCCCAGAGTCGATAAATTTGTATCTACAATTTGGGTTTCATAATGGAGGAAAGAAGAAAATAAAAGAATTTTTTGACGAAGAGGGTTTAGGGCATGTTGATTGGATAGGAGATATATGTATTCTGGATTGAAGAATTAACAGTGGCTATGGACTTTTCGTGGTCTAATAAGACACATTTTATGAAAACGTTATCCTAGTTTGCACGTAAGTCTTGGTTCCATATTTTTTCTGAAACGAATGCTTTAATGTGTCTCTAAATGTAGATTCGGCTACCAAGTTTATTATTTTATCATATGACTTCTGAATTACATGACCATGTCTTAGATTTTAGCGCCTACAAGTTTTAGTCATTCATATTGCTTATTTATGTTTTTATTTTTAGTTATTCATTTAGCACGTGCAAATATTATTTGGTGTTTTTTAGTTAAGCAATTTGGCAGCTCTACATTGAAGGGTGATATGGCAAAAATTTGACTTTGAATGCAACTTTATAAAAGGGATCGGTAATCTGTCTGCATTTTGGCAATTTTTTTTCTCACAATAAACTGAGTCAACAAAAGATTGTTTTTATGAAGAGGATAAATAAAAAAGTTAAATAAGGTATTAGAGAAGGGGTAATTTGGATTGTAGTAATTAATAGTTGTTATGGACTTTCTCGAGTTTAATACATTAGATATGCTTATTGAATATCAAAGTACTTGGCATCTTGATAAACTATTCTTCTACTTTTCTGATGGTTATGCTGAAATCATGCCTGTGTAGAAATTATAGCAAGCACCATCAAGTGAGGTAAAGCACATACTGGTGGTCACTATATGTAAAGGTCCAATTTTAGTTCTGTCTGAGGCCAATATTTTCTAGACAATCAGTCATTTTAGCTTAATATTGTTGATGCTCATTTGGTGGAAGTACATAGTTCACCAAAGACCTACTTTATTAAGCCATTGCAAATTCTTGATAACATGCAGATGATCTCTGCCTGTAACATGACCGAAGTTAGGGCATAATGTTGCAAAAGACAAGGATTCATTTGTTTTCTTGATATTATAAATTTAAATGAGCTAGGCAATTTTCAGCAGTTGTATTGTATTCCACTTTATTTGGCAGCTGCTTCTGGATGTTAGAAAATATATAACTGTAGTTTTCTCTTTACAGTTTGAGGAGTGCTTCAATTTGTTGTGGATTATTTAAGTGGAATCTAGGACCTTGTTGAACTGAATGAGTGCAAGATACACAGAGCTTCATGGAGAGCCATTATCAGCTTTCATTTAGCTAAAATGACAAACAAACAGGTTCACATCAGCTGCTTTTAATTCTTCATTAAAAATATTCTGTTTAAAGGAGTTGCTCATTTTTGTTCCTTATTTTTTGTGAGATAAACTTGGCGATGTTACTTCCCGTAACTATTTATCTGTTTTTTGGTGTAGCCTTTTCCCATGATGTATAATCTTATATATAAGAATGGTGCAGTGTACATTTATTGTTTGGCAACTAGTCGTTTGGTTACATTTACCAATTCACCTCGTCCTAGTTGGTTAAGGGTTGTTTCCACAACCAAGGTTAAGGGTTCAAGGATTAGTACCTCCCCTCCCCTCTCCTCCCACTCTCAAAAAATAAAAAGGGTCATCTGGCTGCATTTAAATATTGGATTTAAATGGGAAGAGGAAAAGAGAATGCAAGAAAATTAATTTCACCACTATTTCTATCCTGTCAAATGAAAATCACCATGAATCACTTTGATGTTTTAAAATCCCTCCTTAACTCGTGTTGTTAATAATGGGATATTTCTCATGTTATTCCTTTGCAACCAAACATGAGTTTCTTAGTTTTTTCTTTAAGTTTTCTTGCTTAAGTCTAACATCTTAATGGAGCCTTGCTACTTGAAGATAGTTTATATGCCATGTGGATCTATATACTTTATATAAATGCATATATTGTTTAACCTCAAAATGAGCATTTAAAAAATAAAACATATCCATATGATTTCATGTCACATTCCATATATGAACCACTACTTATTTGGTTTAAAGCATCACTGACTTAGTCGCTTTTCTCATGTTTAATAAGGAACGTTTACAGGATTCACATAATACATCAGAAATAAAGCCTGTTAATCAGGTAGCACATGAGTCCCAATGTGAACAACTGAATAATGTCACAGAGACTGCTGTACCAGATTCAGGATCAGTTTCTGCGTCGAGCAATGACAACAGAAAAGTTTCACGTGAGGATATTGAACTTGTAAGGCAATTGTTTCTTTGTGCTCTTTCCAATTGTCTTTAGGATTTACATAACAAATGTCAGGATTCTATACTCTAGATTGATTTATGATCATCATCTGCTGTAGGTCCAGAATTTGATAGAACGATGTCTGCAGTTGTATATGAATAGAAATGAGGTTGTGAAGACCCTACTGGATCGAGCCAGGATAGATCCTGGGTTCACAACATTAGGTAGTTAGCATCAAATCATCAAAAGTAATATCTTATCATTGTCACCTGTTTGTTATGATGGATGAGCCCATGGATCAAGTCTTAATTTAATGCATTTCTTTATTTTCTTCTGCCTTTTTTTTTTTTTTTTATAAAAAAAATTCAGTCTGGCAGAAATTAGAAGAAGAAAATGCTGACTTTTTCCGGTCTTACTACATAAGACTTAAACTGAAGAAACAAATTATCCTATTCAATCAGTTGCTTGAGCATCAGTGCCATCTAATGAAATATCCAGTGCCTCTGAAGGTTCCTTTGGCTCCTATTCAGAAAGGAATTCATCCAGTGCCAGGTAATTACTTTCTTTCATTCACTTACAGTGTACAATATTCTATATTTTGATTTGACGCTCGATGCTGACTTTGTAATTAATTGTGCATTCATTTCAATCTTAAAGGTCTCAGTTTCTATGATATTTAGTTAATATGGGAGAGTTAAGATACTGAAAGCTGTTGATGTGAAAAATAGAGAACTCATCTTTCTTTGCTTTACTCTTAACTTGGGTCCGGGGATGCATATCACCATCTTCTGATGTTCCCTTTTCATGGCTTTTCTTCTTTATTTTAAATTTTTGTTGTCCGTTAAATTTATGTTAAATTTATAATAAAACTCTCATTTCTATCCCCACAATAATTTTGAAATAGAGGAGAATATTCTCTCACGTCTCATTTAACTATTCATTTACTTAAAATTCATGCATGCTTAGTAAAACTGCATTTTCTCTCTTGGAAAGACCTCATCTTGTGGTCCTAAAAAAAGATTAATAAAAGTCGTATATTTGAGTTTATCAATAAGCTTGTGAGTTACTAACAGATTACTTTTATATTATGGGTCTATTAAGGGAGGATCACGTATATTTAAATTTCAGTGCTGCTGAAGTTTTGACTTTTATGAGTTGCGCATTAACTGCGAAAGGTCATTTTTATTTATTGAGTGTGATGTGCAAAGATATAGGCCAATTTTCCTCCCAGTTGGGGATCCTGTGCTTGAACATTAATTTGTCATTAGTTTAAAATGCAGAGTTGTTTCAAAATACTATCTGTTGGTGTCTTATGATACATCCAATTTTTGTCGCTTTCGATTCCCTCTATTACTAGCTATTAACCTGTTGACAGTTATTCAAGCCAAGGTTTGCCTTGATGCTTATTTTGATTTGTGCCGCTCACTATACACCTGTATATTTATTTTTCTGTAATGCTGTTCTTCAACACAAGCTTTTTTGGTTGGAAGGTTTCTATTAAGAGATCAGAGCTTTGTTTGAGCCCCATCTTTTGTAGTAGTGATTTTTTGGAGAATGTGTGGTTAAAAAGTAGGAAAAATTTTGAGTTTACGTGTAAAATTGTTTTATTGAGAGAATGTGTGGTTGAAAATGAGTGTGGGAAAAATATTTATTTAAAAAATGGGGCTCAAATAGGGGCTAAGATTCACAATCGAATAGTTTTGAATGCCCTTTTAATTTTTCGGAACTTAACCTGGGGTGATGATTATCCATCTTTTGTTGATGATCGTTTTTGCTGAAGTTATCAAATATATGTCTTCGTTTGCTGTCAAAAAGAAAAAAAAAAAAATGGAATAGTTTAATGTCATTTTTTCGTTACTTTTTGAACCTGGAAGTATGGCACAACTCGCTAGGAGTGGGAATGGCAGAAGGAGATTTAATGTCAAACTCTAGGG